AGAAAATGAATACCTAAATTGTTTGCCAACCACAACTGCCCCATCTACTTTTCAACATGAATTATAATTTTTTTTTTTTGGGTCATTTTATTTTTTGTTTTTTTCCCTCTCTGCCTTAAATTAAAATTGAAATTGTAGGAGATGAATGGGTCTATTATTGAAGCTTTGTAGGGTGTAAACCTAAGTTTTAGGAGAGTACTATGGGTCCTATCCATGTGTGCACATGCATGTGTTAGGGTCCGAGCGTGTGCAACAAATTAAAGGCTCTCTCTTTACTTCGCACATTTGACCAAATAAATCTTTTCGAAGGACATCCAATTCTCCATGCGCTGTTTTTCCCTCTTGCATTATTGTATTATTGTTGCTATAGGAATGCCAATAATGTCTGTATGGTTCTAATTGGGTGGGAATTTGAAGGGTTGTGATTCACTTAAAAGGGTGACAAAAGGGAAGGTAAAAAGAGGAGATTTACTCCAAATGTTATGAAATTTTGTTTGCTATAGAATTTCAAGCCTTGGAAATAATGGCATAGAGTAGGGTAAGAAGAGAGTTGAGTGGATGGGGTAGGGCATGTTGAGTTGTGGAGCTTAATAATTTGATTAGCGGGCTTATTTGATTTTTTCCTTCCACACGTTAGAAGTAGATAAGTAATTAAATAACAATAATTAAAGGAATAAGAAATAGGAAAACAAAAAGCTTAACACTACCTTGGGATTACGCACTCAGTCTTCTGCAAAAGAAGATTCTACTATAGTAGGTTCAAGTTTAGAAGAAATCTGGAATAAAACCCAAGAGAATTTGAAAATAATGTTTGTAATCAAGGTTTTAAATTTTGTGTTGCTTGAAACATCGGTAAAATGTCGATGTTGATGGATATTTCTAAAAATATTACAAAAAAAATAGTAAAAAACGTTTAAGTTAACAAATAAGCATTTCACCATTTTTAAATAAGTTAAGAATGATTAATATTAATATTATGAATATATTAGGGATAATTTGTTGATATTTATTATTTTTTCAATACTACGGAAATGTTGATTTATCTCTCATATTGCTGTCAAGCGCATGGACACATGAAAATATTGATTGAAATGTCGACGGAAATTTAATACATCTTTATAATATAGTAGGAATTATTGTCTGTGTACGAAAAGGATTAAAAGTGAGCTAGTATAAATCTGTGTTGATTTTTTTTTCTTTTTTTTATTTGTAAAAGAGGAACCACTTCATCAACAAATATGTGAGAAACATAAATTTAAAAAAAAAACGAAACTAAATGAAAACTCTCCAATTTCGTAAAATTGTAGATGTGTCATAATTATAAACTCTCTCTTTTTTTCCTACTTTTTCTTCTTTCACTTTCGCTTTTATTACTGTTGATCACGGATATGGAACAGGAAATTTAGGATATTCCAAAATATGGGAAAGATGTTTTTGGAAGTAAAAGAAAAAGTAGCCGACTTCATCACTCACATCAAACACAATTCGGGGAAAAGTCAAGGCACCATTAACTTTTGTAGTAAAGATTCTAACAAATAAAACATGCAATAGACAAAAGTTTCTATTTATTTTAGGTTTTGGCATAGTTTGGTAAGTAAGAAAAGCATTGAGAGCCAATAATTCTAACTTTTTGGTATAGTTCAATGGTCAATGAAACAAATTTTCCATCTTTACATCATTCGACGAATGAGCTAGCTAGGTAAAATGTCACCTAAAACACCTAAATTTTAATGATAAAGATGCATAAAACAAAAGAGTGATTAAGGTCAATGATACCACCTTTTTTCTAGGTTAATATATATGGACCCTTCATTATCGAGAGTCTTTCCATTCATCTCACAAATCAGAGAAATATTCCAGCTCCTGGAGCAATGTTGTAAATTAGTTTAATTTGGTGGCACATTTGGCTATAACAAAACCATCGAACTTTTCACATACTCATCAAAATCGCTTTAAAATATTTGGGAGAATGTCACGGTTTCTACCTCTCTTTCGTCATCAAAATCCACTCTTTTTGCAATGATGATCCTTCTATCGTTTCTCTAAATTGGAGAGCTTTTATCTAGGCCTCCTCTTTTTTGGTATGATTCTCACATGCATCAATGATTGTTGTTAGAAAATCATCGAGAAAATCTTGTAATTAAATTATGCTAAGATAATTATATAGTGTATCAAGATCAATTGAATTATGTTCGTATTGACTAACTAAAAGAATATATTATTAATTAGTCGAAATCAGCCGATCATGACCATTGTGATGAGCTCAATGATTGTTGAGATTTGATTGGCTGATTTTATAGGCTGAATAATTTGCTGATGAGCTAGTGTGTAATTGTATATGCAAACCAAAAATTGGCTACATTATATGTATGCGTTTAAGGAAAGCTCATAATAAAGAACAAAATAATATATAGGAAAAAGATTGTTCCTATTGTAGCACGAATTCTGGTCGCGTAGGATAAAAGGAATTTGCGGAATATATTGTGTATATAAATAGAAGCTTTGTATGTTGTATTCCACGCAAAGTGTCAATATGTCGATATTTTCATTTTCATGTACCTATGGGTTGATTTTCATTTTCGACAAAATACGAAAAATATGAACAAAATATAACTAATGCCGCCATAATATTAATATTAATCATTTTTAACTTATATAGAATTGTTGAAATGTTTATTTGTTGATTTTAATATTTTTTACAATTTTTTATAGTAATTATATTTATTATTTCAACTTCTGACATAAGCCTAAGTAACTTTCCTTACTAATCTCTATCCCATATTTATAAGGAAATTTGTAATGGATATGATATATAGACGAAGACAATTATTTTCATTGGTATGAGATATTTTGGGTGAAACAAAAAGCAAAGCTAGAAGGGTTATGCCCAAAGCGAGGAATATCATAAATATATTTAAATATAATTGATTTTTCAAAATCACCACCTAAATGATTTTACTCTTGTTACCGATTTTTCTCAATTGATATGTTTACTTTGGTTTCACTTCAAGTAATTACTCTCCAATTTTGCACTTCCTAAATAATTTTTTAGAAATGTTTACTTTAGAGTATTACATTTAGTAAAATAAAATATGTCATTTAACACTTCTTAACTTAATATGTGAAAATGATAGATACATTGATGGTTGAATAATATTATTGTCATTTTCACTCTTTATATATTTTTATGAAATTTTACAACAAATGACCTGATGAACAACTTAAGCCAAATATTGGTTGGATTTAGATTTTTCATCCATTCACTTTATGAGATCATTTAAATTTGATAAATTGTTCATAATTCAAATAATTGAGTTCGATCTAAAATATCTTTTTCATCTAAATTAATTAAAACCCTTTTTATTTTTAATATTAAAGCTATCTCTACTACACTTAAGGTTGAAAGCTTAATTATAAGATATTTATGAATATTAATACTTGTTTTTAATTAAGCATAGGGTAAGACTGATTTTCAAAAAAAAAAAAAAAAATAGGCTAAGACTACTTGAACTCATGATCTAAATCACGATATACATATATTCTCTAAGTCTTTTTTTTTTCTTTTCTTTTCTAGACCAACTTCAATAGTGTGTAATAATCAAAATAATTATTTCACATCACCCAATCAACAAAGAGAATTGTTGGCTAATTTAATTTTCTCATCTCTTTTTTACTTTGATTTCTATTTATACATGGAATCATTTAAATGAATATTGTGGGAAACCAGACAAATGGATTAGAATTTCACTTTTGCCATTTATAAATTTCAAGAGACAGATCTCACAAAGTGTTTAAATTAGTTCAATAATTTTATAGAGTAATATTCTATTGTACTTGTGCCCCAAAGAAGCATATGTGACTTTAAAAAAATCACATTAAAAAAAATCTAAAATATGTACTAACACTAATTTAATCTCTGAAATTATTGTTGGAAATATCCTAATTGACTTAATTTATCATAAGTTAATAGCTTAAAATTTTACATCATAATTTAATATGGTATCAAAGTAGGAAATTCTAGTTTCAAATTAAAATTCTCAATAGAATCATAAAATTAATAGTACCTGTGTTGAACTTTTCCTAAATCAAAATAATACTCGAATTTATGCGATGGATATATAAACATAACACAACATATGCTAGATATTGACTCTCATTTGAAATTTCCATGGTTAGAGTGTTTTTCATAATTCAATTCCTTGATTTCCACATGCAATTATAAATGGTTGAGGAAAATGACCAAGACCTTTCAAGGAATAGTTTTTTTTTCTCCCTTTTTTTCTCATTTATGAATTTAAATTAACAAAATGGAAAGATAGATTTGGATTTGTATGTGCATCGAAGTCAAAAGCACCGATTCCAAAGTTCCATATCTTGTTCCACCCTACTACCTAAAATAATTCATTTGAACCCTAAAGAAAAGGGGAAAAAAGGCAAGAGTTGGAATGAATGTTGGATGTATTTGGTGTTCAAACTTATTTTAACAATAGTATCTCCTCTCTTTTCGTTCTCTTTTTTCGTGTCAACCGAAGCTACTTCGTGGACCACAACATACCTATTTATTATGTTAAAAGTTCGTATCAACTTCTCTAATCTGAAAAAATCAATGTAATTTTTAAAGTAAAAACTTTAGTAAAATATCTTTAACGACTGTAGCTAGTATGATTTAAGCTATTTCAAAATGTAAATTTATATATTTTTTGATGTTCATTCATTCTGTCGTTTTTTATTATCTCACCTTTTTCGTGATAGTGGAATTGCTGATCCTGTCTTCACACAAGGCTTTGTTTGCATTCATAGCCCGTTACCAATGTTAGGTTTGCATTGCGTAAAGGGGCAACCCAATTTTATTTATTCTTATTACTATATAAATGTAAACAGTCTAAGCTAGCCACATTTCTTTCCAATTGTCTCTAGGGTTTGATTTGGGTGTGGTGGGCCTTATCCTCCATGTGCTTCCATGTGCTGTGTCTTTCTCTTATAGCCCCCACCACCCCTTCTTCTCTAAACACACATAAAATCTCCTTTCTCTACTCATCCTTTTATCTCCTATTCCTTCTCTTTCTCTTTTCTCTCTTTCATGTACAACCCTAGCTCTTTGTAAACCCTAATTCTTCCTTCTCCATCCAATAAGATGCCCAATCCCAACAAGTTGAAACAACGATTTCTCGAAAAATGGCGGGTGGATTTGAAGACCTATACTGCTTCAAACACAACCATGGACGTCTCAGAGAGAAAGAAAGCGATAAAGATGTCTGCGGACTTGGCCATGGCTTCTGCGAGGAACGGCACGACCATTTGGAGTCGAGCCATCATTGCCAAATCCATGAAAGACAGAGTTCCAGCTGAGATCGTTCTCAGTCACCCTGTTCACGGGGTGAAGCTTTCGAAGCTCGGGAGGAAGAAGACAACGATGGTGCAAACGAAGGGTCGTCGTAGGGTGGGTCGAAGAGCAACAAGGAGAAGTAACTTCTTCCCGCCATCGAAGGCTTTCGCGAGATTGGTTGCAAAGAGATTGGTTGAGAAGAGAAGGAAAGTTTTGAGGAGTTTGGTTCCTGGGGGAGAGTTTATGGAGGATGAAGTTTTGTTGATTGAAGAAACCCTAGATTACATATCCTTTCTCCGAGCTCAGGTTGACGGAATGCGATTTCTTGCTAGTTGCAAACGAGAAATTTCAAGATTCATAATTTGCTTTACAAATATATTTTTTAATTTCTTTTCTTTTCTTTCTCTTTTGGAAAAGCTTGTTTGATTAGGGGAGAAATATATTCACTGATGCAATATTGTACAGGTGAAAAATATATACTTTTAAGTGAATTGAAGTTTTCATTTTTTCTTTTCAAATTATTGGTCCATCTTTAATGTTGATCTCTTGCAATGATTAAGCTCAAAAGGACAAGCAGAAAGACCCATTTTGTGAATAATCTGTCCAAATAAAGCTGTGAAATGTGATCATATTTGGTTTCAAATTTGACTTAATTAATTATGTCTTTCTTTGTTATCTTCTTCTGCTCATAGGGGTTATTAATTAAGTACACTTTTTAAAGCTCATATAAAGAATTGTGGTGTTTTTTTTTTAAATATTTTTTGGAATAATTTCTAACACTGCCATAGCTAATTTGAGGAAATTAGTGGAATGAAGTAAATTGAATTCCAAGATGAGTATTTTCAAACTAGATGGTCTTTTTGCAAGTTCCAAGCTCATGTTTGTTGGACATAATTAAATGAAAATATAATCCCACATTTAATTACAATGTCTTTTTTCCCTAGAATTAATTATTTAAATTCTATATAGCAAAAATTTGAAATCAAAAGTAAATTTTTATTTTGCAAGTACATTTTAATAACTATTTTGTTTTCTATTTTTTATTTTATAAACAATATCCTCCCCTATATGTTTCTTTGTTTTGTTATTTACTTACTTAAAACGTTTCTAAAATCTAAGAAAAAAATTTAATTAACTTATTTTTTAAAATTTGGCTTAGAATCCAAATAAAATTAAAAAAAAAAAGTAAAAAGAATGTATCAAATAGACTGAAACATCAAAGATTAGTCTCGTTCCTATATAATTCTTACTCATGTGAATAAGAATCCATCAACTTATCAAAACGGAGTCTTAGTAACTTTTATAACTCTAGAAAAAATCACCAAAATAATTACATCAAACAGGCAGATCATCTTACATAACCAACTCGTGTCACAAAAGGAAAAGCAAATCCAATTTGGAACCAAACACGTGAGTTTCCACGAAGCACTAAATCAAAAAGCACTTTTGGGGAAACCAAATGGACAAATTTTAATTGCTCAAAAACACTGTAATTGCGATATGTCTGGCCAAAGATGAAAGCACATGGGTTGGTTTTTTTATTTTTTGTTAAATAATAATTAATCGAAGGCATGCAAATTTTGTAAAGAGTAAATTAAAAAGTTGGTGATAGCGATGATTATAGGGGCCAATAGGCGCACACCCGTGTGCATATGACAACAACAATAAGGCCAATGTGCCCAAATTTAATGCTAACAAATGGCCACTACTGAAATTGTGAATAGACTCAAACACCAATGCCTCATTAATATTTTAACTTCCCAATCATATTATTAAATGCATATGCACATGCCCCTACCCTTTTTTCATTTCTTTCTTTTCTCTTCCTTCTTGCAATGAACCTAGCTCAAAACAGACTTATTCATCAAGACAAAACCACTTTAATAAAAATTAATGATACAAAAAAAAGTATGTTGTTGAATTATAGAAATATAAAGCTCTCGATGTTTTCTGGTGTGTAATATTGACGTTTCGGAGCTTTTAAGAGAAGGGACCACATAAACGAATTGATATCATTACACGTCAAAATAAGAGAAACAATGAGATTTTGTAAATATGGGAAGACTTTACAATTAAAGAAAGCTTGGTATATATGTTAAAGTGTTGAAGAAAAATGGTTAATTTACCGAACCCTATATCAGTCTAAGCTTTTAAGTTCTATGATGATTTAATGAGAGTAATAAGATACAGAAATTTAAAAAGTTGTTAAACATGCTTAGCTAGTTATTAGCTTGGAGCTAGTGATAGGGGATGCAAGGAAATGCCAAATGTTTGTCAGGTAAAAGTCTTAACATATTAATTTTGGTTTTAATTCATTACATGAAATAATAATATGAAATGGGGAATGAAACAATATTATTGTAGAAACTTGGACAAAATATATTAAAATTACTGTTGAATTCAAAAGCTTTTAACCTAATTGACTTAGTATAAATTTAATATTTGTTCTCAGTACTGAACAATCTCTACCACCAAAATCAAGAGATTAATGTGTTAATTAGCACCGATTTTGATAATATTCTCGTTTCTTGTTTCCATTTTTTTAGAAACCGTTCGGTAACTATCCATATTTCTCGTAAAAATATTTTTAAACTTTTGTAGATATTATTAATCAGTTGTTGTGGTGTAGTGGTTATCATGTTAGTTTTACACACTAAAGGTCCCCAGTTCGAACCTGGGTTCCTCACATACCCACATTAATATGAATTGGCATTTCTTTCTAAAAAAAGCACTATAGTCAAGTTTTGTTCACTTCTGAGAAAGTGAACAAAACGATATTGTGACCGCACTACTAGAAATAACGTTTTTCCGATGCCTAATAACGTTTCGAAAAACAGAAAAAATGTCGAGAAAAGGTTTTCTCGATGCCTAATAACATGGTTCATAACCAAGCTAGAAAAAAAGTTCTGGGTTTTATCAGGAAAAGAAAAAGAAAGGGAAAACAAAGTTATGTTTGAGGGTTAAAGAGTTACCTTTACACAATTAAAAGATGTCAAGAGTCCTAAGCCAAGCAAATCCATGAAATCAAAGAAGCTGAACCAACCTTTTACAAACCCATCATGAACCCTAAAATTATAAATCTTCCCAATTATTCTCCTACAATGAGTGAGAACAGGAAAAAAAAAAAACCAACAATATATTTGTTCTTTAAAGTCTATTAGATTTGACCTCTCTTTTAATTAAGAAAAATAAATAACTCCACATGCATATAAATTGGTCTTTTTCTTGTAATCAATTAATTGCATTTGTTTATTTTAAATTTGAAAGTATGGACAATGGCTCACTAATTTGAATTTATATAAATTTTCTTGATAGGAAGTTGCACAAAAATCAGAGAGGTCATTGTAGCTAGAAAGATGCAATTTTGTGTTCCATTAAATTTCAAGCCTATTTCTTTCTCTGGTCTTTTTAGAATATAAAAATATATATAAATCATACAAAATTCAAACTCTACAAATCTATTTATAGTGATAGATATATAGATTTATTTAATCACTGAAACTATGTTCACATTTACCATTTTTAAGACTATTCAAAAACATGATTAAAACTCTCCTTAATTGCAAACCTAAGCATATGAACATCAAGTCAAAGATTAAATTATTTGTGATGTAGTATTTTAAAAGAAAAAGGACTCTACTTTATTGGAAAGAGATTTTTAGCATTTATAGATTTAACATTGATCTAAAATGAAAATTTTATACATATATGTGAAAGGTACATTTAAATTAAATAATTGTTAATAATGGTAAACAATTTCAAATTCTCACTAATCTAAATTCATAAATCATAATGTTTTCTTTTTATAAAAATGTCACAATTTTTTTTAAAGAAAAATTAATAAGTTTTTTACCAATTTTTTTCTTTTTTAGTACAATATGTAGGGGTACATATTCGAACCCAGGATGTTTTGAAAATAGATATCTTAATCCGTTAAACTATGTTCGGTTTGACACTAATATTTTGATCAATTGACTACATTCACAAAACGATATTAATAAAATACAAAAGTAGATACACTAGACCATAGGAAAAATCATGAAAAATCCTAATCTAGTAATAAATAGAGTAAAATGGAAACACACAATTTGAATTTGATTGAGAAGGAAAAATAAAATTAAAAAAGAAAGGGAAGTTATGGGAACAAAGAAAATGAACAACTGGAGGTGATTGGATATTGAAAGAGATGCATTGCTGATATCTCATTCAAACCAGCTAGCAGTTAGCACACACCCATGTTTTAAATTTTTCATCAATTTTTATACAATCACTTCATTTTTTTTTTACAATAATTTCGAGATACGAGGGATGGAACCTCTAGGCACGAAAGAAAAAGTACATATCAATTACTCTACCACACTTCCTTTCTAATATATTAGTTTGAAGAAAAAATGTATATCTAATTTTAAAATTTGTCTTTTAACATAAAATTATATAATGAAAAGGCAAATTTTGAAAGTTAATCAGAACCTGATACATATTATCTTTTCTAAAGTATGAAACCGATTTCATGAGAAAAAAGAGGAAAATGGTATGAATTACAGAATAATTTCGTTTCTAAAAATAATATTGAAAAACCAAAAGCTATAATTGAATTAGTTTAAGATACGTACAGCTGCAGCACTTAAATTTATCAAATTCATACAGTAATTTATTGAATTAAATTTAAAATACCATATATAGATAAATAATAAAACACTCGTTGAGTATGGGAGAGTATATATCTCTATTTTGATATGGACAGGAAGGAAATAATCATATAATATACATATACATATATATATAATATTTTTATTAGAGGTTCAAGAAATTCAATAATATATATAATAAGATATATTAACCTAAATTATTTTGTTGGGTTATAAACTTATTTTCGTCGATATTTTATGTATCTATGAGTTCGAGATTGATATGAGAGGTAAATCAACGTTTTTATAATATTATAAAAAATCGATAAAATATAAAAAATATCAACAAAATCTCACCGATATGGACTTAATATTAATTATTTTAACTTATTTAGAAAGAATGAAATTTTATTTGTTAATTTATATATTTTTTATTAATTTTTTATTTTATAACTTTTCTAAAAATATCTATCGTCGTCAACATTTTATCAATATTTCTATCGACATTTCCATAAATTGAGATATCGACATTTCCATTGACATCGATATTTTAAACATTAATTTTACTCTAGTATGTCACAAATTATCAAAACTTTAATTAATATTAATTTCTGAATTTTAATTGGTGTGATCAATATAATAAGAAAAATTGCATTTTCTTATATATATTATATATTATATAATAGTACAGACTTTTTTTTTTAACATTACATTACAAATAAAGGAAGGGGATTGAATCAAACTTGCAATTCACAAGGAGAGACACTAATACTTAGATTACTAAAACCTCCGTATTATATTACCGTTTACATTTAAACATATCATTAACCGTTAAAAGATAAATAAACCACCACTCAACCCAGAAGTTTAAACTAATGGGAATTTCTGCTCTGATACCATGTTAAAAGATTAATAAATCACCGTAAGGGAGAATGTTGAGAAACCATATAAATGAATTAAATTTACC